TGACTTAATCTATTAGATTGATTGATTATGATGACTGATTTGATTGAGTGGTGGATTAGTACTACTACTGCCGCTTTGTAGATAGTATGAATTGCAATAAGTTGGATTCTGATGAAGACCACTACTATTGTTTAATTTGATCGGTAATGGTAATGGTAATCCTAATCCTAATCCTGTACTTGATTTTAATCTTTTAATTCGATTTCGTTTGATCTCTTCTATTCTTACTGGTCCTGGTCCTACTCCTACTCCTACTGTTCCTCTTGATGGTGTTGGTGTAGTAGTTGTAGTAGTAGTAGTAGTATTTGCAGTTTTGATAGTTGAACTGATTGGTGGTGGTTGTAAGTTTGATCTTCTTCTTCTTGTGATGGTAGTAGAGGGTTGAAGTGGTTGATGATCAGTTGAGTTCATTCTAGTGAGATTAGTACTTGGTGTGAATTGACTGATTTCAATCTTAATTTCATTATTTGATCGATGATTTCGATTAATCTGTCTTCTTCTTTCAATTTCTTTAATTTCTTCATTCATCATCGATTCACTTCTATAAATTCAGATTCAGATTCAAATTTAAATTGGTTTCTTCTTTTTTGAGTAAATTTTGATGATAGACTATTGGTAAAGGACCCCACTATTTGGCGACCGCTTTTTCTGACCCGACGCCCGCCTTTCGGGTACCTCACAATCCGCCGCCCTCTTCAACCTTCACCGCCCGGTTTTGGTTTTGAAATGCAATTCAACTTAAGTTTTCATGTACAGACCCGACAATCCCCAAAAAGATAACCGTGCATCTTCTCTCTCAAATGATTTTCTCGTAATCGTAACATCACAGTATTGACATCACAGTTATTCACTTGTATTGAATTGTTATTCCTTTCCATGTATAACACCGTTTTTAAGTGTACATACTACACAATTCACAAATGAAAACAAAGACAACGGAAGAGAGAAAAGGAAACATTGAGAGCGAGCAAACTCCGCGATCCAATAAATGTAGATAGATACATGCGGTGTCAATTTCATTAAGAATCAAAAACCTAAACCCTAGCCGTCCACATACGCAATTGATCTTGATAACTCCCAATCCAAGCGGGGATGGTAGTAGTGTCCAAATTGGTTGCGTTGCGCTCCTTGCCGAATATTTTTGGAAAGGGCAGACCGTTTTGGTCTTTGACCCGCAAACTCACAAAGTGATTCTTTTTGACAAAAGCCAAGACTATTGGCACTTCCTGGTTGGGCAAAGAGCGATATGGGAAGAAAGTATGGCAACATGAAGTTTGTGGGTCCAAAAGAATGGTAGGCCGATTATAAGCACTTGCGATTACGTAGCCCATGTAAGGCATCCGCAACCAATATTCTTCAGCGCATTCGGCTTCGTCATGATCCAGGCGAAAGAGCAAGTCTTGAACCACTTCCTCCCCAAAAGATTGGTGTTTTCGGGTTTTCACCAAAGGCCTGGGAGTAGGCCAGACCAGACGTGCATGGTCTTCAGCGTGGGTTGACAGTTCTTCAAGTAATATCCTCCGCACTTCTAGAAAAGAGTGTTCAGAATGTTTGCCGACTGATGCAGCTATAGCCAAGTATCCACAATTCCCTAAAGGAGCTGGATTGAATATGGAATGGATATGTCGAACAATGAAACCCGGAAGTTGTCCCAAAATCAGTTGATCTTCTGGACTGGTGAGGGCGCTTTTCTCGCAACCGCGTGCAACCGTACTAGTTTCGATCGAATCTTCGGATGAGAAAACTGCAGTTCCGAAAACTCGACTAGCTTCAAGAGTCTTCCGGACCTTTGCATCCCCGACCGGCAGGTCCAGATCCTCAGCTATCAGCAACAAGGCTGTTTCAGGTACCAATACGCGACAAAGGAAGTAATCAGGCGAGAAAGGGGCCGCTGTGTCGATGTCCAATTGGGTACTGGAAGACTGCAACAAGAACATATCGGACAATGTCCTGAAGATGACCTCATATCCCTTTGGGCCATAACTGGTTAGGATTTAAAAGAAGTCAGTTGTATGTAGTGATCAACAAATGAGAAAATGTAGAGACTCACTAGCCAGGCTGCTCAAACTCAAACCCATCAAACTCGCCAGACATACCGAACATGGCTCGTCCCTGCTTCTTGAATTTATCCTGCGCGCACTTGAAGAAGAACGACGGGGTCTGATGTTGAATAATTTGGCCCAGATGAACCGCATGTTTACGTATGCGCCTGCAGGTGTAGAGGATAAAGAAGAAAGGCAGTCATTCAGCCAAAAGTCACTCGAGGAGGACACAGCTAACGCCCACTGACGTATCCAAAATTCCAAAGTCAATTTGCATCGGCCATCCCTCACGTCTTCCTAAAGGTATCACGTCGCGTTCGGCCTGATGAAGCGCACAATATTCGGCTGTTTGTGGAAACTACCAAGAAGGACATGAATCAGTTGAAAAGGAAAAGGGGACAAAAGAAGAAGTAGAAAGCTCACCGGGAGGTTGATGGCATTAGGTAACGCCATTAGAGTTGCCTTCAGCCTTTGAAGCTTGTCTGATGGCACTGCTGGCAAGGCCTCATCGCAGTACGGACACAGGTCCTCGTCGTCGTCGTTGGAATCGGACCACAGGCGATCAAAACTGCTGGTATCTGAAGTTTCTTCGACTACTTCAGTCGCCTCGATGTCATTCTCCAAAGGCTCAATCACAATGATAGTCGGTTGTTTGGGTGATTGAGCAGTTGCCACCTCCACTTTGGCGCCGGATGGGGGCACAAGGATGTTAGCTGATGAATCACGATTGGGACAGGTGTTTGCACGATGTTTTGGCTGCTTGCAAATGCTGCATGTGTAAGTCCGCTTAACCAGCTTGGGTGGTTGAGTTTGTGAAGCAGAAACAAGGCATTGAGATTGAGGCACTGGCACTTGTGACCCAGGTTCAGAGGCGCCGGAAATGATCAATTCACGTTCGGACAGAGATGCTGGATGCGTTTCTTGAGTCGTGCCTAATGTCAGATTAGAGACCGCCGTGGCTTGAGAAACTGAGGGTTGAGGTATAACTTTGTCTTCTGGAAGTTGCGAGAAATCGTCTTCATCGATTTCTTCATCAGCCTTTCGCTGTGGGCACGTGCGGAACCGGTGGCCTGACTTCATACAATGACCGCATCGAGGGGTTGCAGTTCGAGCTCTCTTCGCGTCGCTTTTCGCCTCCTCTATGTCTTCGAGCTCCATGTTGGACTTCCACCTTCCTTTGTCTTGGGAAGGACCAGCACCAGCGCCACCACGTTTGTTCACGGCGTGTCGAGGGCGTCCTCGATTTCGCAATTTGACCTTGGCGTTCTCAATAGGAACCAGAGAATACCGACCAGTTTCTATCTTGGCTAGGTCCTCATGGATTTTGCGCAATGAGTGCTCGTCGAGCTTCAAAATTCGGTCGACCCTTTCTTGGACAGCTTTCAAAAGTCCATCGTGAGTTTGTGGAGGTGCAACTAAGGCCAGGTGCCACTGTTGGTGAACCAGATCCGCCGAGATTTGGTTGGATTCCATAAGAGCACCTGCAAGATCGTGAGAGCAGGGAAAGCCCCATGCACCACGGAAGGACTTCGTACAAGCACGTTTCATGCTTTCGGGTATCAAAGCATACTGAGCCTTCATCTTCTTCAAAGCAAAATGTGACACAACACCATGTAAATCTTGAAAGCTGGGCGGAAGTCCTAGTAGGGTTTTTTGACACTCTACTCCGGTTAAAGTTGTGATTTCCTTGTACTGTGAATCTCCCGCCCTTTTGAACGCTTTGAAACAGGTGATGAAGTCATTGTTGGAGCCGTCTAAGAAGTTTTTTAAGCGATGATGACCACCTTCAATTCGAGACGTCGACGAGTTCCCGAAGTGCGGGGTTTTGGAGGTGAAGAGAGCCACGAACTTTTCGGTTCGGTACAGCCAGGTCTTTTCTAGGTATTCCAAGATAAATCGACGTCGTGCTAGCGTCCTGACCTCTTCCAGATTGGCTTCATAATCTTCTTGTGTCGTACTCTACAAGAATAGATTCCAAGTTTTCAAAAACTCATCCCAGTCTTCCTTCTTCATCTTCCTCTTGCAATTTTTGGCGATATTGTGATTTATGTGCCATATACACAAAATATGAGTAGAGTCAGGGAAAACTTTGCCAATCGCGTTGAAAAGGGCCGGCTCAGCGTCCGTACAAAAGGTTTTCGGAAGGGGAATCGTGTTATCTTGTTCCGAAGGGTTGTTTTGATTCGATTCGTCGCAATTGAACACGATGGATTTGAGCTGTTCCAATGCCCAAACATATCTTTCTTCAACTTCGCTGTGCATAAAGCACAGCGCCACCGTAAACGTTTTGTGAGTGTTGGTGGTTCCTACGATATGGAGCAGCGGTAAATTGAACCGGTTCGTCTTATAGGTGCAGTCGAGCCCAATCACCGTGGGAAACCGACGTGCCATCTCGATGCCTTGAGGGCTGGCGATGAAGAGAGATTGGAGTGTCCCGTCGGAGGCGGTGGTGGTGCGAAAGGCCCATTGACTTTCTCTAATCAAATCGAAAAGTCCCTGGATTGGCGTGCGTCCTGCTAGCCAAACGTCACGCTGGCGATAGATGGCATTACGTATATCTCGAACAAGAGGCTCTGAGCCGGGTTTGAAATGAATGAGGCCACGTATTTGCGCTGCGCGGCATCCTGCTGAGGCGAGGAGATCAATCTGACGTAACAAGTCTGGAGTAAATTGTCGATTTTTGGAAAAATTGTTGGGTTGATCGAACGGAGGGTGGTTGTGTTGGTGTTTAGTGGTGTTCTTGGTATCTCGCTGAACCACCCAGCGATCACTCCGTGAATGGTAGTTGAGGGAAATCTCGTAAGGGCAGCCTGTCATCTTAGTGGAACTCGCACGGACCGCTGCGACAGAATTGACCGGGCGCCCGAGAGAGCATCTGAAGTAGATGCGGACCTTTTGGTGGTGTTCAGTTTTGTGGCTTTTGATTGCCATTCCATAACCTTCATGTCTTGCAACGGCGTTGATATACATGATTCCACTAGTCATCGCTACGAACTCTTTTCCAAAGACTGGGGAGTTCATAAGACGCACTGGAGGTACTCCTGATTGTGGATCGAATAGATAAAGGTTAGTATACTACTGCTCAATACGATTTAGATAACATGAGACTGACTCACCTATGGTAGGCCAATCAGCATCTCGCTCGGCTTGAAGGTTTTCAAGTAACTCGTCATCTTCAGAATCGGAAAGATCGCCTTCCTCAATCTGCTGAACCGCAGTCGAGGTTGTTTGAGCGTTGGGAGTTGATTGAGCGAGAGATGTTGATTGAACTTCCGCGAGAACCTCCATGGGGGTGACTGAAGGTGGTTTGCAGCTGGATGTCGCCGACTGACTGACATCAGATGGAGCCAACGTCGTGCTAGAGGTAGATGGTGCCGAGTCCATCACGTGACAGTTAGGAAGACTGGATGAGGTGGAGTGTGGCGAGTTTAAGATGTTGCCGTTGGTCATAGGTAATTGCAAAGGCGCAGGTGGTGATTGATGATA